CCAACTGTCACCCCAGCCCCCCATGCCCCCCAACCCATGCCCCCAACCCAACCCCGCCATGGAGACTGAACCATGTCCCCAATCCAACCCCACCTTGGCCACTAACCCATGTCCCCAACCCAGCCCCACCATGGCCACCAACCCACATCCCGAACCCCACCATGGCCCCTAAGCCACGTCCCCATCCCAACCCCACCATGGCCACCAACCCATGTCCCGAACCCAACCCCGCCATTGAAACTGACCCATGTACCCAAACCCGCCATGGACACCAACCCATGTCTCCATCCGCCATGGCCACCAACCCATGTCTCCATCCCAACCCCACCATGGCCACTGAACCATGTCCCAAACCCAACCCCACCATGGCCCCTAACCCATGTCGCAAACCCAGCCCCACCATGGCCACTGACCCATGTCCCCAACCTCACCATGGCCATGCTAAACCATGTCCCCAACCCCACCATGGCCCCTAACCCATGTCCCCAGCCCCACCGTGCCCACTCTCTGAACGTGGAAGCCCGCCCTTAAGGAGCTGTGGTGGCTGCTTTGCTCTGTAGGACACGGAGCCGCTCAGGACGGTCCCTGCTTTTTACCTGTCACCGTGGTGAGCCAGATCTGGGTTCCCAAACTCAATGAAGAGATTTCTCCATGGGTTGTTTCCTGCTGATGCTCGCTTTATTTCATCGAGGACTTCTGTATCTAACACCCTGCATTACCCACTTGACTTTGCAGCAGTGTTTTATGGTTAGATTCCAGTTAAGTGTGCTTAAAACTAAAGCCTAAATCTTAACTAAGATTTGCAGTGAGCCGATCATTATCCACAGCAAACAGCTCAGATCTGACCCCAGGTGAAGATGCACAATCCAGACTCCCCCTCTCCTTCCCTAAGCGCTGATGATGCCCATGTAAAGGGTGATCACAGCTCCTAAATGTAGTAAATATCCCGACTTGGCAGTTTATTCTCCATATTTGGCTTGAGGACCCTGGGTGCTCTGCCCATGCCTGCACCTTTCAGCGTGGATTTCCCATGAAAACCCCGTTTTTGTGACAGCAGTAAGAGATTTTTGGGGCGGTTGTTGCACCTCCTCAGGTGCACGGTCACCGCTTTCCACTCCCCGCATTTTGCACACTCTTTAACTGTATTATCTCCACCCGGCAGTGACTTCTGTTGTCTGAGCTGAATTCTGGTACACGATGTGAATCTGTGTTTGATGAAGTTCCCAAGGATTTCATATTAAATGTTTTCTGAAATCCTCTTCCTGCTCCACCTGATACCTATGTAATGGTTTCCAGGCAGCGCACCACCACCATGCTTTGGATATTTAAAGTTTGGACGTAAGTATTACTCCTAAAATGGTTCTTTCAGAGTAAATCTGCATTTGAGGCATTAAAAAAAATGAATTCTTATAACCCAAAACAGATTTTAACAGCTTCCTTCCCAAATACCTTAGCGAATGACCACGTTGCAAGAATATTTGTTATTTTAACATACTACATCCTTCTTATTCAAGTGCCTGGACAGGAAAACCTGCTTTTTTCAGCTATCAGCACACCCAGGATGCAGCATTTGAGACCCTGCAGAGCTGCGGCTGCTTTTCCTCCCCCGAGGAGACAACTTGTAGAAATACTCACAGGTCAGTGTGTGGTGAGGATGTAGCTGCAAGCCCAGGGGGTTCAGATGTGGTGAGGAAGCGAGGAGTGGTTGGGTTTACTGGTGTGACTGGTGGTGGGGTGTTGGTACTGGGGTGGGACTGAAGGTTCCCACCACTAAAACCAACGTTGCCCCGTTCTGAGGGGCTCTCTTGGCTGCTGGAGCTGCATTGGGTTGGGTGGTTTAATTCAGATCATAGCAATAAGTGCATTAAAAACCCAAATCTGAGCTCGGAGCAGGAACAGATCAGCTCCACTTTTCCTCATGCAAACCTTTCCTGTTCTTGGGCTTTTTCCAACATTTTGGAGTATTTTACCTATTTCCAAGGTCCTTTACGGGGAGAGGTGGGTTAGGGTTAAGTGCTTTCGATACTGCCTTTATTCAAGCTGCAGCATCTGCTTTAACCTTTCTGGGTTCACAGCTTTTTAGTGCAGATTTGGGCAAGCTTTACCTTTTCTATTACAGTACAAATTTCAATCTCAAACACAGTGGGATGCTGTATCCCAAAATTTCTTAATCGCAGCATTGTTTGTCCGGATAAATTAGGGATTTCTTTTAAAAAAGAGACTTGAAATTGGTGTCAATGTGTTTATGTTGAAGAAATGAAGTTGGGGGTTTGGGTTTCGCGTGGGAGGATGTGGGATTTCCATGCAGATCTCTGTAATTCCAATAAATCTCATTTCTGGGTGGACCCATCGGGATAACACAGGAGACTTTTAATCACCCGTTCCCACATCAGCATTGCAGGTAGCAAATTAACTACGAATTTGCTCTGGAGGTCAACGCTCCCAGTTAAAACCCCTTGGCCATACTGGTTTTGGGTCCTGGAGGGCCCCCAAACTGGTGTTGCTGCCTGGATTTTGGGGTGGGAAGGTGTCTGTGACCAGCTGCCCTAAACCACGTCTGGTCTGTGTAACCTGAAGGGTTCAGTATTTAGGGAATCTCGGCACCTGATGGTGTTTGAGAGCAGTGTAGGGGAAAG